GAGAGAGAGAGAGAGAGAAAGCAATAGCAGATGAAGGATACTCATGAGAAAATGGTTGCCATAGAGCAAATGATAAATATAACCAAATATATCATCTCAAAATTTAAAAATTACAAACTGAAACCATCATCTCTCTAAGAGATCAAAGCAGAGATATAAGAGGGCCAGGAAAACTGGGCAAAGCAAGGCAATAGTAGGAGTGAAACATAAGCTTGTAGAGCCCAGAAAAGAAGTGGAAGAGGGGAAAAAAAGTCCCCCCCACATGGGGAAAATACTGCTGAATGTCTGGCTATGTGCTACTCTCTGTGCGGACCATGTTGTGTCCCCTAACCACATTAAAGGACAGTTGGATCTCTAGCTGTACATGTTGGTGTCTATTATTAGTCATCACCATCTTTATGAGATGAGAACTACAAGGAAGCATGGAAACAAATGAATAATGCACCCAATTCAAGTCATAAACAGAAAAAATCTCTAAGAAGAACACAATAAAGTTAATCAAATTAAAAGCAAAAATTTATTTTAAAAAATCAGAGTGGAACTAATAAGTAAATGCAAGAGTCAGTTCTTTGGGGGAAAATACTAAATAAAAACAAACCATTACCAATATAATCAGAGTGAAAAAAACATAAATACACCAAATATGGAACAATATTGAGGATATAATTCTAGAAACCTAGAATATAAAAATAATTAAACAAGAGATTACTTCATTGTATGCAAACACATATGAAAACCAGGATAAAACAATTTTCCCCCGAGAGAATACAAATGATAAAAATGACCTCTAGAGGGTTCAGCAATCCTACTTCTGAGTATATATCCAAAATAAATGAAATTGGTATCTTGAAAAAAATCTATTCACTCCCATGTCATTGTAGCATTATTCATAATAGCCAAGATATGGAAACAACCTAAGTGTTTGTCAGATGAATGGATTGAAAAAAAAAGAAGTAAAACTCATAGGAACACAGAGGAGAATGTGGCTGCCTGGGGCTGGGAAAGGGGAGAAATAGAGAGATAGAGAGATGTAGGTCTAAGGATAAGATGAATAAATTCTGGGGATTTAATATACAGCATGGCGACTATCGTTAATGATACTATTTTGTAATATTCTTTAAATTTGCTGAGAAAGCCGATGTTAAGTATTCTCACCGCACACACACACACACACACACACACACACACACACACACACACACAAATGGTAACTATGTGAGGCAATGGATACGCCAATCAACTCGATGGTGGTAATCATTTCAATATATATATATATGTAAAATCACCACATTGCACATTTTAAATATATGCAATCTTGTCAATTTTACATCAATAAAGCTGAAAAAAGGAACTCAGAAGAGAGAAATATCTAAAGATATGATAAGGCAGAAATGTAACTACCTGAGTTGAGAGTCAAGAATTACAGACATCACAAGACCCTCATGTCTATGAGAATGACAGAGTCCAGGCACCAACAAATCTCCTCTTGTATTGACTGACCTTTGCTAAATCCAAGGAAAGCAACCCTAAGGTTTTCTCAGAGTTAGGAGGGATCAATAAGACAAGGGGGGCAAAAGCATATGATTTTGATAAGGCAGAAGGGCATGAATATAGAGCATGGGGACTGGAGGAAGCTGACCCAGAGGCCGACTAGAAAAAGTTTGCATCCTAGCTACACTCTAGAATCGAGAGTCATCCATTGTGAGACTTCTTTGAACACACTCCTTCTTTCTCTACCAGCTTTGATTACTCCATCCTTTCCCCCTTTTCATTGGCTACGTAATGCTTTGCACTGTTGGTTGGTTAATTGTCTGGCCCTTCAGTTAAGGGCCAGGTTACTTCAGCTGGGTAACCTCTTCCATGAGAACAAGGACCACATCTCCTTTGCCCAACATTGTATGCCCCCTATACTGACCTTACGCTGTGCCAGCCATGAATAGGGCAAGCTTGACATTTTGGACAAAAGCAGGTAACAATAAGGAATGTAGCTGCAGAGATACAGGAATTAACGGAGGTGCAACATCCTATTGGAAATGGGGCAACTACTGTAGACTTACAGGTGCAGTGAGAATGTGCAGTCTTCCTAGGAAATGGTAGAGCAGCTGAGAGGCCAGAGGGACAGGCGGGAGAGACAATCTACATCTCACAACATGATAGTTAACCGGGGAAAAAGGATGGTTCCATGCCTTGCTTTAGAAAAGTTAATCCAGTGGTCGGCAAACTGCGGCTCGGCAAACCGTGGCTCGCGAGCCACATGCAGCTCTTTGGCCCCTTGAGTGTGGCTCTTCCACAAAATATCCACAAAATACTGACTTCTGCGCATGGGCCACGAAGTTTCAATCGCACTGTCCGTGCGCGCCCGCACGTGGTATTTTGTGGAAGAGTCACAATGAAGGGGCCAAAAAGCCACATGTGGCTCTCGAGCCGCGGTTTGCCGACCACGGGTTAACCCAATATCAGAAGTAAAGGGGGAAAAAAACCACAGACTTTGAGTTCTTGGTAAAGAGTAAGCTCAAAATGAGTGACAGATGGGATGTGACCATCAAAATTCTTAAATCGAGAGAGGCTGCACTGATAGGTTCTACAATCTTCAGCGATAAAGGTGAAAGCCTTGAACTGCTCCGGGCTGTCAGATGATTGCCTGACTTCCTTTCTGAGTGCTACACTTTAATAAGAATGGAGTTAAATTTGAACATGTTCAGAAGAGAGGCCCCCAGGATGATAAAGATACTCAAAAGTAAGAGAACAGTTAGAGAAACTGGGGCTATTTTGCTTAGAGAAGGAAAGACTGGAAAGAGGCATGATAGCTGGCTTTGGGAATCTGAAGGGCTGTCAAGTGGAAGAGGCTTTGTCTAGCTCCGAATGACCTTGAGGGCAGAACTAGCACTGATCGGATTTTCGCTCAATGCAGCTGAGGACTCGGAGACAGAGCTACATTCATGGAGAAGGAAGAACAGTGAGGGAGCCCCTGTTTCTGGGGTGCTCCAGCCCCAGCCCAGGCAGTGTGGTCCTGCAGCGAGGCTGGCCTTGCACCCAGGCTGCACTCGATGTCAGAGAGCTGACTTCTACATTCTCTCCCAACACTGAAATCCTGTGAGCAACGAGCCTTTTGACTTCTATGTTCATGATGGGAATCATTTTGTGAAAGTGCTTTGTAAACACTAAAGTGCTTTACAGATATAAGGTCTTGTGACTATTTTCTCATCACCTTGTAAGACTTCAATTCTGTTCCGATTGCCACTTTCTCTACTTATCTCTAATCTCTCTTCAACCTCATAAAGATTTCTAATTGATAAATGCCAAATTTAATAGTATTGTGACTACTATTCCCTGTCTAGGATTTTAAATGTTCAAAGTGCTTTGTAAATAATAAATGATTCTTCATTTTTCACTAATGAGGCGAAGGCCCTCTATTGAGTATGCTGCTCGTGGTGCTGATCCTATGGTGTAAAGCAGGGGTCCTCAAACTTTTTAAACAGGGGGCCAGTTCACTGTCCCTCAGACCGTTGGAGGGCTGGACTATAGTTTTAAAAAAAACTATGAACAAATTCCTATGCACACTGCACATATCTTATTTTGAAGTAAAAAAACAAAACGGGAACAAATACAATATTTGTATTTGCATGTGGCCCGCGGGCCGTAGTTTGAGGACCCCTGGTGTAAAGGGACGGGGTAGCTGAATTATTACACATCCACCTTGTGGGGTGGAATTCATTAAAGTCAGTAGCATGCTCACAACATTTGCTGTAACAAAATAGTCTCCACATTAATAAGCTGTCAACAAACAAGCACAGTAATAAATCACCCTCAGAGTCCACACTGACACAACTTGGCTTCTGCTCTTTGTCAGAGTGACCTCTGGTGGCCCACGAACTCTCAGACAATGAGAATACCTGTTTTGGTGGCATAGCTTACTTGTTACAAAGCATTACGACTTAGAAAAATTAACTGTCAGACACATAAATTCCCAAATCTATTTTGGGGTGTTCAAAATTTTTTCCCCACCAAACTCTACTATCATCTCTAGTAAGCAACGACTTGAGAGCTCTAAAATATTTATTTTCCTTTTTCTCCAAGGGACTTAGCAGAGAGTGACACAGGCAAAGGCAAGTGGAGAGAAGAAAACCCGGGAGAGAGCAAACTGGATGTAAGCGCTCTTAAAAGGTTAACCAAATTACACAGCAACCCTCACACCCAAACGTGTGTTCTCAGACTGTTCATCTATTTCATCCTCTGGCTGACGGACACCCAGAGCAGAAACGGGGTTCGGAGCTGAAATTTATACAAGGCAGTACAGAGAAGGTAAGCCTCACATAAGATGAAGTACAAAGAATTTTTTGTACACTTCTCTTTTGATGCTACGTACCATTGGGAGGGAAACAGATTTTTAAAAGAAGCTTTTTAGTTCATATTCTATATTCAGTCTAACACATTCTGTATTTACTTTCTGTTCGTGAGTTTTAACTTTTAATGTAGGTTATACTTGTTCACATGCTGATGTCTGCGAAGAGAACTCTATTAAATATTTTTATATGTTATGATTACAACTCTCTAATAATGAGTATTTGGGGAAACCCCTACAAGTTGTTTTTAAAAGTCAGAGGAGGCAGGAATAAATAGATCATTGGCTAATCTCTCATGCTCCTTGTCAGCACCCCAATCCATCTTTGCCGACGAGGTAAAACCATGGGGCTATCTTCAGCGAACCATTCTGTTTCAGGGTTACTCTCATAATTAATTGATGCAGGAAGGACATGCTCCGGATGGAACACTTGAACCTCGGTGAGTCTAATGGGGGGCCTGTTAGTGTTTGATAAATGTTCATGACTTACCAGCACTAAGAAGGAGGAAATGCAGGGCCGCTATAGCCGTGTGTTCAATACGGTTACATTGACGCAGACATAAGTGAAAGGTGTTCTTTTCGTGGGGCAGAAGGTGGACCCTTGAGAAACATGGGCTTCAACAATGACACTGCCTCTTTCCTCAGGCCCAGGACATACCTTGATTCCCGTAGCTGGCGTCGATTCCAGAGCCATCCCACGAGTCCACAGCACTGTCCACACTGGGCACGGTGGACGGGTACATGTCGGAGAGTTTGCCCGGCTTCTGTGCTGGCGAGGAGTCCTCCTCCATGTCTCCCAGGTCACCCAAGTGGCTGGGAATGGGGAATTTCTTGGGACTTGATGCTGACTGAGCTTTAAAGACAGGAAAGAAGTTTAAGTATCAGGGTAAATTGAAAAACATTTTTTATTGCCTTTTAAAATTATTTTTATTGATTTCACAGAGAGGAAGGGAGAGGGAGAGAGAGATAGAAACATCAATGATGAGAGAGAATCATCAATTGGTTGCCTCCTATACGCCCCCTACTGGGGATTGAGCCCACAATCTGGGCATGTGCTCTGACCAGGAATCCAACCAGCAACCATTTGGTGCATGGACAACACCCAATCAACTGAGCTACACCAGCCGGGGCCATATAAATTTAAATAAAAAGATAAACATTCCCTGGCTAGAGAGTCATTTTCCTAGAAATGCACACAGAGACATTTGCCCATTCTTTTGGGGAAGGAAATGCACTGGAAATTCTTAACTGTGGCTCTCAATCCACTCACCATCTGTCTGTTTCTTAATTTTCAAGGTGACAGTCTCTCCCGCCATTTGTAGCAAGTGGATGGCCTCACTCAGGGGCTTCCCTTTCAAGCTGCTGCTGTTGATGGCCAGGATCCGGTCTCCGATGTGGATCGCGCCGGTTCTGGAACACCAAGGAGCAACAGGAAAATAGAAATAATCCCTGTGTGATACTCAATATAGATTCCCGGCCATACTTTATATATTCATAATAATAAAGACTTGGCAAGGGTCTCTAGAAACCATGTCTAGCTTTCTCCCGGGCAACGTTACAAGACAACTGCATCTGTTGTGAATTACTTTTTAGTTTCAAATAAAATTAGAAAAATTGTTTTAATTAGTAGTTAAAGTGAACTTGTATGCTTTTTAATTCCAAGAAAGCAGAGTCATTTGGTAACCCTCTTAAAAATCCCAAGGAAACGAACAAGATTGGACAATGAATGTAGCGATGTTTAGCACGGGGCATTCCTTGTTCCTACAGATTTAAAAATGTTGAGCATACTCATTCTCCCAGCTCACCAGAAGTGAGATTCAGAGAGATGGGGACACACCCCGGACGCTGGTGTGGCTAGGCCCCCTGCTGGTGATTCCAAGGAAACGAAAAAGGCTGATCTCGGGAATCAATTGCTGTACAGTCATGCACCGCATAACAGTGGAAACACGTCCTGAGAAATGTGTCGTTAGGCGATTTCCTTGTCTTGGGAACATCATAGAGTGTACTTAACACGAACCTAGATGGTGTAGCCTACCACACACCTAGGCTGTATGGTACAGCCTATTGCTCCTAGACTACAAGCTTGCACAGCATGTTACTGTACAAAACAACTCGAAATCAAATCAAGGCCAAGAGAAAATGATGCAACCAAGAGACTTGGTGAATACGAGATGTATGAGGATGCTGCCAACATAACACAATGTATTGTTTTACAACAAACATTTTTATATAAGTAGAAAAAGCACACTCTTGTTTTACAACAAACATTTTTATATAAGTAGAAAAAGTACACTCTAAAATAACAACAAAAAGCATAGTACACTAAACACATAAACCAGTAGCACAGTCAGTAATTATCAAGTATTATGTACTGTGCATAACTGTATGTGCTATACTTTTATAAGATTGGCTGTGCAGACCAGTGTCATCACAACTCATGTGAGACCACTGTGTACGTGTGGTCATCGTTATGTAACACATGACTGTGGGGCTAGGTTTGAATCCAACTCTGCCACCACCAGCTGTGGGACCTCGGGACCCTATGTTAATCTCTGGGTGTCAGTTTCCTCATCACTACAATGGGGGTAATCATCTTACTGGGAAGCCCTAAAGATTGAATAGGAAACTGTATGTATAGGGTGTAGCACACTATTTGAAATGTGGAAATAAAAAACTAATTTATTGATCAATAAACTAATAAACTGATGGCCTTTCTTCTTCTCTTCCCATGCTCACCCAATTCTGAGCTCGCAGGTTGGAATGTATAATTCTCATGCTCAGCATATCTACCTTAGCTTGGGAGCACTGGGTGGAGAAGGAGTAGACTCACAGCAGGAAGCTCAGGGATAGTGGAAAAACCCAGATCTCTCTGTGCTCAAGGCTGCAGAGAGGAAATCCATGCACTGGCCTCCTGTGCCCTGCTCACTAACTGCAGCGAGGGAAGGGGTCAGCCCAGCGCCCAGGGCTGCTTGTGACTGAGCGCTCTGACCACAGCTGGCTCTGGGGCAGTGGGCAGCTGTGCTGGGCAGCAGAGGAGACACTGGGTTGTGTAGGTTTGGGGGGGGGGGGCTGCTTAACAAGTCCACCAATGCATCAACTCTCAAAGAATTCTTCCCCCTGGGAAAAAAAATCACTTCATTCTCTCATGAGGAATCTCTAGTTTATGAAAGATCTGTGTTGTAAGCCATACGACACTTGACCAGTAGCTTGCTAAAGCAGATAAACAGTAATCTTTTCTCATTTGCTCCCTAACAGAGATACCTAGAACAGGAGGATGCCTGAAGAATACCATGTTACAGGTGTCTCTGTTAATACCAGGTTATGAAATTCTAACAGGGTGATCCGTTTGAGCGGCCTCAGGGCCCTCGACTGACAGATGTAAATGTTGGATGAGATGATTTCTAAGGTTCCTCGCAGCTCCACAGCTCTGCAATGCTACGTCTCTATTCTGTTGTCCTCTAGTGTCAGCATGAATGATGTGCGTGCGTTCCTGAGCTGGGTTACAGGAGGCCAGATCTGGCTGTGATGCCTGGACTACCCCCACCCCCACCCCCCACAACAGGTCTCAGAAAGATGCAGTTTAGCAGGGGGTTGGGATGTGTGCTCATGAAAACAAATTGCTAAGGGAACATTCCAAATTGCAAGATATCATTAAGATGCTGCACTCTGCTTCCTGAAATCTTTGAGGATACAGCCTGTGCCATCCGCTCCTGAAAAACAGCAGCGGAGGCCATGCCTGTCAGGGGAGAGGCTCAGCGGACGTTTGCTGAATTGAGTTGGACAAGCCTCTTAACCTCCCTGAACTTCAGCCTCCTTCTCTCAAAATGGACAGGATATAAATCTACCTCCAGTCAATTGTGGTCCGTTTATACATTTCTAGAGACTAATATCAATGCTAAGCCCCTGGCACCTTTCACTGCCAGTAAGATGCCCCTCAGAGTCAGGTCGGAGCAATGCCCAAGAGCTCTCAAAGCTCTACAGTCGATCTTGGAACAAACCCACAGAAAACCCACGCAGGGGAGGGGAACAAGTGTGTATGCGGCTGTGAGGAAGGAAACCCATCTCGGACCCAGGTAACTGGAGCAGTGCCTTCAAATTGTACCTCTCAGCTAATCCCCCTTTAGTGAGGCTTGAAATGATTATAGGATCGAATGGCTCTTCAGTTCCTGAAATCGTGATGCCAAGGGGCCCCCCGTAGCGCTTCAGCTCCACGGTGTAAATAATTGCCCCGGAACTTTCTTGCTCATCTGCAATAAATGGCAAGGAGTCATAATTGGTTTCTTTGAAAAAAAAGCAAAGTAATAAGACAAATATATTCAGACATAAAATAAGAAATTCAGAACATCGGCATCAGCACATTATGTTGCAGAAAATAATTATTTGGAGAAGCAGCATTTCCTTCGTAGGATATCACATTCTAACAGGGAACATCCTAATGACTTATGCTTTAAATCTGGAGAGAGCCACCAGGTGCCCTGCAGGCCCTGCCCGCGTGCCCAAGCCTCGCACGGCGCTGGCCCAGCATTTTGTGAGTGTGCCATCGACACCAGCGGAAGGAACACACGGCTGAGGAGGCAATTAGGGAGGAGAGAGTCGTGCAGTGACAAAGAGATCAGGCCACGCAATTCCTATTTTCAGGCTTTACAGCCAGCTAACTTTCAACACAGAAAAGCCGATACTCATCGTTGCCTTGCACGGCGCTGGCCCAGCATTTTGTGAGTGTGCCATCGACACCAGCGGAAGGAACACACGGCTGAGGAGGCAATTAGGGAGGAGAGAGTCGTGCAGTGACGAAGAGATCAGGTCACGAAATTCCTATTTTCAGGCTTTACAGCCAGCTAACTTTCAACACAGAAAAGCCGATTTTACTCAGGGTTGGAGCAAGCTTTAACTTATGTACATAGTTAAGTGGGGCTTGGAGAGGTTGGTTGGCCTGGGAATCTCGAATCCCTTACATATCATCCCACCGACTGTGTCTTACAACGTACATCCTGTTGATGAACTCGTGGATATGAAAACAGGTTTGAATGATTACCTCTCCTCTGTTTTTGAATCAAAAGCCGTGTAGGTTATGTTTCGGTAGCATACACCCGGGGTCACACTGTCATACATTTATTTTGGCTGTTTTACATTAGCACAAGGGAAGACATCTGTGAACGGCTCTGCCTAAAGCCTCGGTCTGAAAGACGTCTTGGGGTGACTTCAGCACCAGTGGGTGTTTTGACTGTGTCAGGCTTGCAAATACAAAACCTGTTTCGTATTTGCTGGTGGCATGGTAAAGATTTTGAGCATTTCTTGTTTTATTCCTTGGGCCTCAGGGGGCTGTGCCTGGATAAGGAGCTATTTCATTTCTGTACCCAAGGACGCAATGAAATGGTCTGGAAGGGACTCTAACAAAACAGTTAGCTTTTACGGTCAGACTGTGTCATGGCGAAGCATTAACGCAGTCACACATCTACCTATCTGTCTGTATCTATCCATGGATATGAAAATCAGGCAAAATGGAAACAGTAAGTGAATATTTAATAATATTAAAATTTTTTGCCAATATGTTAAACTGTGATATTTAATTAAATATCTTAGAAGTCTTAAATTAGGGCGGGAGTATAGACCAGCAAGATTGATCATAAGTTACCAACTGTTAGTGCTAGGTGACGTATGATGGTTTATGACGCCATTTTTCTCTATTTTTAAATATTTGAAGTTTATATAATAACATTTAAAATGTAATAAAATGTTATTTTATTAAATGATATTTAATACATTTGCAATAATAAATATTTAATTTAATATTTAATTTAATAAAAACATTAATTCCCTCAGAAAACTCTGTGATGCCTTGAGTAAACTGACATTAATTAGTTTGGTTTGCTCATCTTCATAGACCAGCCGTGGGCAAACTACGGCCCGCGGGCCGGATCCGGCCCATTTGAAATGAATAAAACTAAAAAAAAAAAGACTGTACCCTTTTATGTAATGATGTTTACTTTGAATTTATATTAGTTCACACAAACACTCCATCCATGCTTTTGTTCCGGCCCTCCGGTCCAGTTTAAGAACCCATTGTGGCCCTCGAGTCAAAAAGTTCGCCCACCCCTGGTCTAGGTGGATGGCCCATTTGCCCACCAGGCGAGGTCCCAGCGCATCCCACTGCCACCTGCACTAGAGGAGGCAGACATCTCAGCTCTGCCCTGGGTTTCATAACAGTGGTTTCTTCCACATGTTTTCCTGATAGGGATCCAGCCTTTGTCCCTCTCCCTCGCATTGATTTTCACCGGTGCTGCCAGCCTATAATTCCCTTTCCGTTCTTCCTGGAATATTTCAAAGGCATAAATCTGAATTCACTCTCTTACTTGACGCTTTTCATTGATTCCCCAATTCCTTAAGAATAAAATACAACCCCTTTCTTTGCGCGAGCTGAGCTGGGGCTGCCATGTCTCCAGAGGGCCACCCCCCTCCCATTCCAGCCCAGTCTCCTACATTCTTCCTCACCGAAGTTTCTGTAAAAGCACTTCCCTGACGTCTTTAACCTTGCACATGCCACTCCCTGGGCACAAACACCTTTCTCTCCTGGAGAATTCCTACTGGGGCCTCAGCACTGGGCGCAGATGTCTTGTCTTTCAGGAGGGCTTCCCGGCTCCCCCGCAGGAGCTCCAGGCCTTTCCGGGGAGACCCCACACTCCTGTGCATTCTTCCAGTGCTTCTCACCTTTTAATTTTAATTCTTGCCTCTGCCCCGCGACGAGGAGAGAAATTAAATTAAAATTCTTCCTAATGAGAGAAATAGGAAGGGCTAAGATTCACTCAGGTAGGGCTGAGCTATGGAGAGCCACTCACCGCTGTGATGTAACATCTCCGGTTCCTAACTCTCTGAGAACCAATTTTTGCCCCCACCCACCGAAAAGGCACGCTCTAGCCAGTCCTGTTCACTAGGTGTTTAATTATCTCTCTCTTTGTCTCTTCCATTAGAATAAGATCACCTTGAAAACAAGATTTCATCTTCGTATCCCCAGAGCCTAGATCTAGGACCCCAAGGCTGCTGCAGTAGATGCCTGAACAGGTGAGTGAAGATGAATGAATGTTCACGTCACCAGCTCCGAGGGAAGAGAGCTCTGGGAGCCACCCTCCCAGCTACTCCAAGGCCTAGTTTCCTTTTCCAAAGTGATGTAAACTCAACCTGGCTCCTTCAAAGTGTGAGGGTCAGACCGGGCTGCCTCTGTGGGAACCAGCAGGCCTGGAGCACCCTCCCCTCACAGTCCTGAGAGTGGCTGCGCCAGCGCCAGGCTGCACGTCCAGGCCCATCTGCCGCCTAGGGCTGGAGCTCAGCTGGCACGTGCACGGCTCTGCAGCTGAGGAGCTGGCAGGAATGCCCGTGATGCTCAGGCCATTTTGGAGGTGGAAGCCCTCCAAGTCACTCTCTCCTCCAGGCTGCTCCAGCGTAGAAAGCAGCAACTGGAGGGTTTAAGGAACAGAAACGTTCTGAAAAGGAAAAATGCAGGATCACCAGTAAGTTGCTAGGGAGCCTAACCAGATGTTAATGATATTATAAGCAGCTTTTACATCACAACAGAAGGTTTACAACTATTAGTGAAAGACATGACAGGGGGCCAGCCTCCTTGTTTGTTCTGCTTGGCTCTAGTTAAGAAAATGAATGGGACCACGGAACAGATGCGGAATTGCAGCATTAATTATCAGCAACGTTGTTTTTGGGCTTCTCGAGTGCCTCCTGTTTAACAGAATGAGCGCTCTCTGGCGTGAATCCATAACGGCAGCTGCTCCTGTGGCCGAATAGGAGGCTTGGATTTGGGAGAGAGCCTTCGGAATGCCTAACTGTACAGGTCAATCAGAGTTCATTTTAACTAAAAGTGATGGGATGCATTTTGGACAAGCCTCTTAACCTCCCTGAACTTCAGCCTCCTATTACAATAATGCAGAGTATGGCCACCTTTCTTGGAGGGGGACAGCCTGAGTAAATGAACCATTTAGAACAGCTTCCTTACTGTCGTGTGGTCTCTGCAGACCCCTAGAAATGACTGGAGACAGATTTGGAAGCCTCCATTTACCTCTTCCTACAGTTCCTCCAAATTCTCTACTGTTTTGCTTCAAGGTTCCTTCTCAGATTGCTAAACTCTCCCATCTGCGTTTACAGCGAATCTAGATGCAACCAAGGCAAAGCAATAGATTTTATTTCAAGAGGGTTATTTGCATCTTTGGGGACCTGGGGATTGGGTAACAGCCATTGTTTGGAGCCCGGGACCCAGGCAGGAACGGGTTGGCTCTACTTAATTTATATTTCTGTGGTAATGAAAGAAAACAAGTGCAAAGGCTCCTGAAGGCAGAATGGTCTTGAATATAGAGGGAGGGAAATGCCTATAATCAAGTGTTCCAAAGATCGGGCCATTGTAAAATGAAGCTAAAATTAGCTTTAGTAACACCCTAATAATGACTGTTGATCATTAGCATTCATTGGGCCTTTTTAAGTGCCAAACATTATTGCTGAGCGCTTCAATTTATTACCTCCTTTGATCCTAAGACAGCCAGGCGAAGTAGGCAGTAAATGGACATTTACAGATGAGGAAACTGATGCTCAGAGAAGTAAATTTCCTGTTTCCCAGTGTGTCAGTTGGGAAGCCAATCTAGTGTGTGTGTTTTTTGTTTTTAATTTTATTGATTTTTTACAGAGAGGAAGGGAGAGGGATAGAGAGTTAGAAACATCTATGAGAGAGAAGCATCGATCAGCTGCCTCCTGCACACCCCCTACTGGGGATGTGCCTGCAACCAAGGTACATGCCCTTGACCGGAACGAACTTGGGACCCTCTAGTCCCCAGGCAGACGCTCTATCCAGTGAGCCAAACCAGCTAGGGCCAATCCAGTGTTCTTATTCATTTTCTTCTTCAGCTTCTCCCAGAAAGGACTAGAAACAGTTAATTCAGATGCACTCAAATGTCTCATTCAATATTCTAGTAAATGATTGCAACTGGTGGTCACTGACCAAACACTATGACCTCACTCTCCTGCGATAAGCCCTCCCCACTGGCTTCTGGGGTAAGTTCAAATGTCTTAACATGGTTTAGAAGGACCATGATGATTGGCTTCAGGAGAGCTTTCTCCTCTCCTACTGCCGAGTCCTTACGCATTGTTTTTGCTTCAGCCACGTCTGCTACTAAGATGTGCCATGCTCTCTGGCCTCCTGCTTGGTTCATACTCTTCCTCTGATTGATTCTAACAATACCTCCCAGACAATGTCAAGACAGAGATTGTTCGAAGCATTCCTTGAGCTCTCCAGGCATCAGGGCTGCCTGCATATTCTGCTAACATTTTCTGCACACCCTTAGAACATGCATCATGTTGTTAATTATTGATTTTCTTCTGTTTCTCTTACAAGGCGGTGACTGATGTAAGGGCAGGCAGGGACTGTGCCCTTTTTAATCTAATTGGCAGTCCCTGACACAGTAGATTCCACCTCATAGACACTAAATAAATTGCGTGACTGAATGAAAAACAAAGACTTAATGTTTGAGAATAGTTCTGCCATCTCCCTGGGTAAGGTGCAAGGCAGAGCAATGAAACCAGTAAAGCTGGAAAATATGCTCAACAAGCATATCCTAATTATCATCATGTTAGGTATAGAGATTATAGCAGGAAAGGTCTAAAGGGGGAAAATGAGCTGAAGGAAAGCAACGATTCATGTTTCTGAAACTCCTCCCAATGTGCCTGCTCAGCCTGGCTTTGGAACTGGAGCATCGCCAACTGGGAGCTCCAAATACTGACCAAATACTATGGCCTCACTCTCCTGTCTATTCCTCTGTCTTGGCTTTCTCGCTCTGCAAGGAAGGTAGCTGAGACCTGCTTCGCTTGGCAAATCGTGAAAAGTGGGGTTCTCCATGGGGCTTTGCCTCTTCTCTAGGACAGAACTGAGTGTTGCTGGAGGCTTTATCCCTCCAAAAGGAAAGTGCAATCGAAGCATGCTTGTAAGGAGAGGAATGCAAATGTTGGCACAAAAAATCAGTTGCTTGGGAAATAACGAGTAGAAACTTATGCATATTTTAAAATGTTGGTTATATATTTGGACAGAATCATCCTTACCAGCTGTGCAAATTGGCTGTAACTACCAATTCGTTTTGACTTTGAGTAGGAATCGGCAACACATTGCCTGACATAACCATGAACTCTAGGTCTAGATGGTTTTTACAGGTGACTCCAGAACTTGCATAATAACTCATTATTGGTTTGGATGAAATTAGAAACAGTAGAAGCTCTCTTAACCAAGCTCCAATCACCCAACTGACTAGACTATTTGTGGCTCCGCATTCTCCGCGAGGTTCCTGATGGATGCCATGGACTGCTGCGGATTAGTAGGTCTCCCTCTCTAGTGCCCCATGTACTTCTGCTCCTGCTATCTCTTGAGTTGTAAGTTTGAAATTTTAGAGTCAATTACATTTATCCCCAAGCCTGTTTTATCCCAGTTTTACTTGTTATTGTAACTATGTAATTTAATGAATCTTACATAATGTATAAAATATGAGTATAGTGGTTCTATGAAAATAAAATCAAATGCTTTGGAAAGATTCTATAAAAGGGGTTCATTAAGCAAACATAAACGTATACTATTAATTATATAGAGGAAAAACTCAAAAACATTTGGGAAAATAAAAATCTAGATGGAGCAAGCATTCTGATTGCGTTGAATTTTTAAAATTCTCACCATATTAAAACAAATGAACAAAAAAATCTAAAAGTGGAAATCATAAATTGATTATCATGGGTATAGTTTGGGCAAACAAACAAGCAACAAGACATGTAACTATAATCTGCAGAATATTCTTAGGAAAGGCCTTGACTTCACTGGTAAGACTGGCAAAATTTTAAATTAAACATTTATATTATGGATATACTAGAGGCCCGGTGCACAGATTCGTGCATGGGTGGGGTCCCTTGGCCTGGTCAGCCATCGGGGCTGACTGGGGTGGCAGGGGGTTGACGGGGGAAAGACCACGGGAGGTTGGCCAGCAGGGGAGATGGGGAGGGGCTGCTGGAGATTGGCTGTCTGGCCCCAATCAGGGCCAACTGGGACCAGGTGGCTGCGGGAGGTTGGCCAGGGGAGGGGACACGGGAGTTTGGCTGTGGGAGCATACTGACCACCAAGGGGCAGCTCCTGTGTTGAGCATCTGCCCCTGGTGGTCAGTGCACGTCATAGCGACCAGTCGACTGGTCATTCTGTCATTTGGTCGTTCAGTCACTTAGGCTTTTATATATATAGGTATATTTTCCATAATTCCCCACATTTTGCTGACTCTTTCAATTAATGGACTTTTCTCAATAAGCTCTGGTTCTTATCATAATTATATAAAAGGGCTTCTACTGCAGGGCAACTCGGAGTGTGGTCCTTGGACCATAGCAGCATAATGAGGAAGTTTGCTGGAAATGCAGAATCTCAGGGCCCAATTTGGGAGCAATGCCCAAGAACTGTGTTTCTTTAAAAAAATAATTTTTAATTTTCCTATTACAGTTGACATATAATATTATATTAGTTTCAGTTATACAACATAGTGATTAGACATTTATGTAACTTATGAAACAATTATTCTGATAATTCTAGTACCCATCTGGCACCATACAGAGTTAGTATAGCATTATTGACTATATTCCCTATGCTGTACTTTACATCCCGAGACTACTTTGTAGCTACCAATTTGTACTTCTAAATCTTTCCCCCCCTTTTCCCCCACCCCCCCAACCTCTCTCCCATCTAGTAACCACAAAAAAGTTCTCTATGAGTTTGTTTGTTGCTTTTTAAAAAAAATCTTTACCTGAGGATATGTTATTGAATTTTTATTTTTTAGAGAGGAAAGGAGAGAGAGAGAGAGAGAGAGAGAGAGAGATCAGTTGCCTTCGGTACGCAACCTAACTGGGGATTGAACCCACAACCACTTTGGTGTATGGGACAACACTCCAACTAACTGAGCCACCCACCTAGCTGGGACTTGTTTGTTCATTTCTTTTTTAAGACAAGCTCTTTAGGCGATCCTGAGGCCCACTAAGGTTTGAGAAGCACTGCTCCAGTGGATTCATATATTGCTGGAAGCACTAAAAATGGATACAGCCCTTTTAGAAAGAAACATGGTTAGAAGACTCATCAGGAATCCTAAGATTTCCATCTCAAACTGACTCAGCAATCTTCTAGGGATATTTCCTAATGAAATAATTCAAAGGATGAACAACTGAATAAAGATATCTATGCCTAACGATATCCATGATTGCACTATCCGCAATAATAAACAATTAAAAGCAATCTAAGCAAGAAGAGAAGAATGGTAAATAAATTACAGGCAGTAAATAAAAAATATAGTAAGGGTTTGTAAAATGATAACTGGTTTATAAAATTAAGTAAAAATGTAACATGCACTATGGTTATAATTATGAAATATAACTATCAACTTGAAAATGACTTGTTCCATTGTACTAGGGTGGTACTGGGTGATAATTTAGTTTTCATCTTTAAAGATTATTTAAATACAGTTGTAATAATGGTTCTATAATGACACTATCTTAATTGTATCATTTAAAAGCACCATTACTTAAAATTGACACTAAACTCTCAAAGCACAATTTAAAGCCCCTTTTAACTATGTAAAACTCCGCTGCAATGTCACCAGCCAGCTGTTGTATGTAAAACATCAAGATCTAATATCCTCTGTGGCAGATGGGCAGTTAGAGACACCAGTTTCAACGGCGAGACTATCAATACCTGAATTGTCTTCATCTTTGCGGATTTTGAGCTTCACCAGATCTTCGCACTGCTGGAGGATCTGAACGGCGTCTTCCATGGAGCAGTTGTCCAGGCGGATGTTGTCTATTGCAAGCAATTTATCTCCAAGTTCCAGCGTTCCGGTCCTGTTGGCAAATGCAGAGCAACACGCGAGCGATGATGAGCACGTACGCAGGCCATCTCAGAGGCGTTAGCATCATGCAGCATGATGGTAATCTTTAGAGGAAAAGTGGTTCCTCAACTGCTTTTAAATTGAATTTTATTGACAATGCCCCCCCACCCCCCCATTCCCTAAGTCTTATTTTGGATGGTCGCCATGACAAGAAGTCGCAGAGTATTAAAAACAGCTTTTTCTTGTGCCAGAGTGGAGGGCTGAGACACGGCGCCTCTGCCATTCCCACCTGCGCGGGGAGCTCACTGTGGGGAGAAAAGGTGACTTCCACGCTTGCTATTTGGAGTGTGACCACGGAGGGCCTACTACTATCTGTGGACCCCTGCGGGGCTCTGGAAGTTTATAAGGTCCACCATGAAATAAGAAAAATGATACAATTGTATATGTGTTTGTGATTGGGTATATGTATACACACATAATTGTAAATAAGGTTATGTTGTTTTAAAAACGTATTTTTATTGATTTCAGAGAAGAAGGGAGAGAGAGAAACATCAATGATGAAAGAGAATCATTGATCTGCTGCCTCCTGCATGCCCCCCCACTGGGGACCGAGCCCAAAACTGGGGCATGTGCCCTGACCAGGAATCGAACCGTGACCTCCTGGTTCATAAGCCAACGCTCAACCACGGAGCCACGCTGGCAATAAAGTTATGTTTTGATAAGAACTATCCTTTATGCTTTGGGTCTGCAAAAGAGATTGCTAATTGCTTCCTAGCATCTCTTCTTTCCTTCCTGCTTTGGGATCATGCCCTAGAGATGCACACCCCAAACTCTCTCAACCCCACCCCTACCTCCCTTCTGTGGCTAGAAGGTTGCAACGCTGAGCAAGCTGTGAGGATGGCGAGCTGCTTCGCAGCCCTGCAGGGCCTGCCACACTCCCACTGTTATGTGAGAGACAAACTGCTGCCTTGTTTGATCCACTTTACTTATGAGTCTCTTTGTCACAGTGGAGCCTCTACCTTTATACACCTACACTCACACACTGTCCTTACTATCTTTTTTAAAAACAGATTTATGCATTTATTTGTTTTAAATATTTCATAGGGAACAGTAAATGTAATAAAAGAAATTAAGTGATGAGTTTTCAGTATCTACTACTCTTATTTTTTTAAATATGTTTTTATTGATTTCAGAGAGTAAAGGAGAGGGAGAGAGAAACCTCAATGATGAGGGAGAATCACTGATTGGCTGCCTGTGGCACGCCCCTCACTGGGGATGGAGCCCGAAACCCAGGCATGTGCCCTTGACCGGAATCGAACTCAGGACCCTTCAGGCCACAGGCTGATGCTCTCTATCCACTGAGCCAAACCAGCTAGGGACTTACTATATTTTGAGGGTTAAAATATTTCTTTAATGAAATGGCTGTGATAATAGGTGGGATTTTTGAAAAAGTCCTTAACTGGAAAAAAAAAAAGTTAACAGTCTTATAGTAGTGTTCCCCAATCATTTAAAAAATATTTTTGATCCGTGAAACCAAAAGTTTGAGACTTCCTGATTTGGATGGATATGGACCAAATAGGAGATAAAACATTAAGGCTGAAGGACCTGGCTGGGCCAGGAAGGACATCCTGGCATCTAGCAAAGCTCTTGCATAAGCTACTGTCTCCACGTGGGGTGTCTGGTGTACGTAAGGCCGCTTTCAGATTTCCAGTTGGAGAATGAAAGATGGAATATGATCAGTGAAGGAGAGCCTCTGTTGGACTCATAAAAGGCCTTACAATACATTTTCAGGCCTGTGCTTTCTGTACTGGGTGCAGAAATAAATCAGCACGCCGAGGAATTTCTACAACAGCACTGACATTGGGAATACCAAATATGACTGATTCATGGCAGCTGCCTGGGATATATTGAAGCTACCACGATCCATTAGCAAGGTCTGCCTAGGGTGTGGCAGGGGTCATTTCTGCTTTACGAAGAAATGCCTTGGAATAAACAGAGAAGACGTTTTCCTTACCTGTGTGCCACACTGCCTTTTTTGATATCTGAAATGACAAGGGGGTCTCCCGGTTTTCTACTGGATGGAGCTGTAACAATGAAGATAGAATAGTCACATCTTTATATCCACAATTCACCTACTATACATTTCCTATTTTATAACAACTGTTAATGCAAGTATAGTTCGTATGTAAAGCAAAGATGATCAACAAATGAATTAGAAATGTGCATACTACATCTTCTTGATGCAAACATGTTTATATTACCTACACTAATAAAAGAGAAACATGCAAATTAACCATCACTCCACCACTCCGCCACACCCACCAGCCAATCAGAGCAACTATGCAAATTAACCCAACAAAGATGGCGGTTAATTTGCATACACAGGTGTGGAGTGAATACTGAAGATGACTGAAGATGGTGGCGGCCACAGAGCTGGAGTGAGCAGGAGGCTTGGGTTGCTCCTGGTGATGGAGGAAGCCAAGCTTCCCGCCGGCCCTGGACTCCGCTCAAGGAGTGGCTGGGGGCCTGGGTCACCAGGGGCAACCCAGGCTTCCAGCCCGCCCTGGGCTCCGTTCGAGGAGCTGGAAATAAAAAAAAAAAGGAGGGGCTGGGAGCAGCCGGAGTGGAGAAGCCAAGCCTCGCTGCTGCGGCCAGACCAAAGGCCTGGGTCCCAGGTGCTGGAGGAAATCTGGTGCCGGCAGCCAGGGGAAGGAAGGCCTATTGCACGAATCTTTGTGCAACAGGCCACTAGTAGTATTTATAAACTTAAAAACTAAAGCATAGTCATTTTAAATTTGTAATTGCAGAAAACAATTGGAGAGCTGCCCATCAGATCTAAATCTATTTTTATCTGTGATTCTCATGAGAGGGAGACGAAGGATGGATTCTCCACTGGGCAGGTTGCAGGCTCAATCCCCAGTAGGGGGCGTGCAGGAGGCAGCTGGTCAATGATTCTCATCACTGATGTTTCTCTCTTTCTCTCTCTCCCTCTCCTTTCCTCTCTAAAATCAATAAAAAAATATATTTTAAAAAGTCACTGAGGGCTCCTGTTAGTGGTACTCATGTGTGTTCCCTTTTCCGGTACTTAACGCCTTTCAAGGGAGAGACACCATTGTCATGGAAATGTACTGTACTACTCAAGTGTCCTGGGTGGGAATGTGGATGAGAATCACTGATTTAAAGTTATTTATTTTCCCAGATGGAAATCTTTTGCTAGATATACTATAAATCTTTAAATTTTGCTTACAAATTCATACCTGGAATGCTCTAAAATATTTTGGAATGTGACTATTTTATTTTATTGACAGTAGTAAATATTTGGTGCTATTTAATTATATTTTTATGCATATTCATAATATAGTCATGTACATATAACCTTTATTGAGTTTACAGATAAAATTATTATCTGGCACAGTAATCAATTTTGAGTTTTATAAATTTTCTTAGGAATATTTCCATTTTATGAGAATGAAAAGAAACTAGTAATGAGTCTATGTAGAATTAATCTTGAAAATGAACTCTAGTCCTAATAAATTCAAAATTATCATCTTAATTTAAGAATTTAGAAGTATCATTTAATTTAGGCTGATACTTAAAATTAACCAGACCAACATTTGTAAAAAAACGATTTGCTTCCAAGAGGAGATGTTTTGCCAACCTAAGCTTGTAGTGATCATTAAAAGGCCCCTAAAGTAAGATTTTCTTATAAACAGTCTGATCACCCCATAATAATCATAGAACCATATCATAGCCCGTAATCCCATCTGAATCCCAGAAAAATGTTTATGCACAAGAACAGATGGCTTAATATCTCAACACAACATTGAAAGAAAAAGCAAACACATATACCAATACCATACCCACTGTCTAAATTAGTGCATAGGAAATGTTAATGGGACTTCATTCAATCATTATTCTTGGCTTCTAGCAAAGAATGCAAAACATTCTATTCACTACAATTAATTCATAATTCTATCTCCACGCAATGATGTGAAATAATTCCTCCAGAGAAAAATACACATCTAGCATTTTTACTTGTGCCATATTTCAGAACAGCAAATTGTTCTGGGCATGGGACACAGAAATAAAAACTTTGTTGTTACCAGCAAAAACAACTTTCCAAGCATCTGCCAATGAATTTACACAATATTTTGCCAAGCAGAAGTAACCATGATAGAACACTCAATATTTCTCTTGTTTTTTAAAAAAATCCATGTTCCACTGAAATGATCTGAAACAAAACAATAATAGATGTACCATCAAACCCATCTGTATCATCTTTGCAACAGAGGAAACAAGCACTGTGACCTCTTGGACAAACCCATGCAGATTTCCAGAGAGGTCGGAAACTTCTCATGGTCTACAGACAAGTATGGTGGCCATTCCCACATGTATTAGATCCTTCTTTTTCTCCTTTAACCAAGGCCATGCCTGATGTTTGAAAGGGTCTTCGGGGTGGATGACCATCGGAGGGATAAAGTTGAACCCAGAAGTAGGGCCAAATCTCTATGGGCTCCTGACAGTGTCACTGCCAGGCCCACCAAGCACGTTAAACGTGGCAATGCATGTTCTGGGGACTCTGTCATGGTGTGAACACCCTGGCATCGTATTTTAACTACCCACTACCTGAGAAGAAGTCATACACCAAGCATGCTTTGCAAGGATTGTAGTGCTTTGAAAAAATTTAGTTACCAACATATCAACATTGTAGATTTCATATAAATGTATAGCTTCTTTAAAAAAATTAGAGGGAATATGGTACTCAACATTGTAGATTTCATATAAATGTATAGCTTCTTTTTAAAAAAAATTAGAGGTAATATGGTATAGTGGTTACTGGGACTTGGCAGTCAGAGTGCTTGGGTTTAAAGTCCTGGCTCTACCACTTATGAGCCATGTGAGCTTGAGCATGTAGTGTTTAGGCACCTTAGTCTCCTAGTCTGTACAATGGTGATGAAGATAGTAACAGTGCTTGTCTCATACAGTTTCTGTTGTAGGTTGTTCTCACATGTAGAGTGATTGGACCAGAGCACGTGAAATGCCCCACATAGTGTTTCTTGTTGGTAGGATTTCCCAGCCGCACTGGACTCGCTTTCCCACCTCCCTCCCCTTTAGGTGGAGCCTTTCTTCTCCCTTTGTTCTCTTTAAAAAAATTTTTTTTATTTCTTTTAAATACAGTTTACATTCAATAGTATCTTGTATTATTTCAGGTGTTTAGCACAGTGGTTAGACAATCATATACTTTACAAAGTATTCTCCTTGATATTTCCAGTACCCATCTGGCAACGTACATAGTTATTACAATATTATTGACTGTGCTGTACTTGACACCCCCGTGACTATTTTGTCACTACCCATCTGTACTGCTCAATCCCTTCACCTTTCACCCCGTCTCCCAACCGCCCTCCCCTCTGGCAGCCATGAGTCTGTCACTGTTCTCATTGGAAGGATCTTATTCATTAACTGGCCTCACTCCTGAGGGCTTCTGAGAGTGAGACACTTTGAGTAGTGTGGGTCTATTTTCACTTATGACTCATGGACCCATCAATTTGGAAAGCTATATCCATCAATGCTAGGCAATTTTATACAATGATTTGATGCTTTCCTTTCCTTCCTTTCTTTCTGTAACGGTTGTCATTTGAACTCATCCTGTATAATTCCTCTCTATTCAGATCCCTCATTTACTTTTGTTCCAATTTCTGGAAATTTTCCACAAACTTATTTTCTAATATTTTATTGACTTTTATTTTCATTTCTGCCATATTATTATGTTTCTAAAGCTCTTTGTTCCCCTCTGTATGTTATTTTGCAATAGTACCAGTAATCATTTCCTCCCTCCCATGGATATAATATCTTATGTTGCTAATGATGTTAATGATAGTTTTTTTTCTTTCTTAAGTTTTCATGTGCTCTTTCTCTGTTTCTCTTCCTTGTTTTTGGTGACAGTCTTGCATATTAGGTTCTCTCCTCAAGTGTCTGTTGTTGTTGTTGTTTTTCTTAGTTCTCTGTTTACACTAGAGTGTGACCCGAAACAGCTGAACATTTGGTGCATCTGAGTGGACTTGCGCACTTCGGTCTTCACTGTATAGTTCAGGCTAGGCTGTTTCTTTGGGTCAGATGGCTCTGATTCTTTCTCTTGTTTGGAGGGTATTAAGCCTGGCTACCCGGCTTCTTTGAACTTGGAGTTCAAAGAGGTGGGGGGAGACTAGCAGCCTCAACATTCAGTATGTAAACTTTCACCTACTCTGTTTTCAGAGTAGCCATGCCACACTCAGCTGTGCCCCCCAATCCAGAGACCCTCGGTTCCCAGAGACTAAAACTAGGCTTCTGCCAGGGAGGAAAGGGGTGCCTGGCTGTGCTGAGTGGGAGAAGGCATCTAAGGGACTAATTCATTCTTTTCTTTATTGACACTATTAAAGATGTCCTCCATTTCCTCCCCCTAATAGACTTCCAACCAATACTCCTGTCATAGCTGTCTACCATCACTCTCACTTCCAGAAGTTCCTGATTTCACCATTTCCTGGGTCTCTTGGGAGTTTAGGATATAAATCAGGTTCCCTGCCAGCTTTCTCTTCTGCTTCTTTAAATTCATCTTTCTCCATGTTCTTTGCCGCTTGCAAATTTTGTTGCTGTTGTCTATTTTCCATTTCCTCTTTTCTTTATGGTTTTTGGCTTTTTGAAAAATCTATACTGTCATTTTAAAATGGGGTAAGAGCTAAATCTATGTGTTCAAGCTATTATCTTTGACCCCTGAAGTTTTAAAGTTACTAGTCATTCTTTGTTATCAGAAGCTATTCTTAAAGTGAACATGGATTCTTTTCCTCTCAAATAGTTGTTGGAAGAGTTAGAAAATGACAGAATTTATCATTTGTTTAAAAAAACTTTGTAGTCAAAGACAGGTGAAATATTCTGAATTTTGAAGTGAATTAAATGTGAATCAATAAAGTATTCCAGGAACATTCTATAATATGTAGCCATTCATAGAATTTACTCTGCTAGATAAGTGTCCAATGTCATTGGAGTAACACATACATGATCATTCAGTTTTATTTTAATTACAACTATATATATATCAAATAACTTG